CTAAACCCTAAACCCTGAAAGGAAAGCCTTCGATTGCTGAGGATGGTCATCCGGCCTCCGCGGGATCTGCCGGGCTCCTAGGGAACATGTTTTGGATTTTGAAGCTTCCCAGGTAGTTGTACAATAAATATGGTTTAGGGTTTAGGGTTTCGGGAAGCTTCACAGGTAGTTATACATTACATATGGTTACACATAGCTGAAAGCTACGATTTAGGGTTGAAATGTCGGGTTTAGGATTTAGGGCTCAGGTTCTGCGTTGTTTTTTCTGATACTTTTGGTTCCCAGCACCCTAAATGCCGCTGGCCACTCGATCAGATAGATCTCAGACAACCCCTTAATGACCTTAGACAAACCTCTCAAGCTTATGCAAGCGCATGGAAACGACCCAACATAAAACTTGCCAGACTCCCACACGCAAACCCCAAATCGCCACAACCCCGAGACCTAAACCTCTCCACTCCACGTAAAGCCCAGACCCCAAAACCACAACAGCCAACACCCAACCCACAAACCCCAAGAAACGCTTGCACCAACCCGGGCCCAAAACCCCCAACCCTACAACTTTAAACGAGGTACTCTCCAGAAGAACTTGGCCCGGACAAATTCCGGCTCGGTCGCTTGGCTGTGGCCACCCGGGGCTGTGTTGTTGGCCCATAAGGCGACATAAACGTTAAAACTCCAAACCCTAGACCCTAAANNAACCCTAAACAACCCTAAACACTAAAACCTAAACCCTAAACCCTAATCACCCCCAAACCCTAAACCCTAAACCCTAAACCCTAAAACCATAATCAGTAAGCCCTGAACAGAGCTTGGGGCTCGGGATGGACGGTTGCAGTTTGTAGGGTTGCGGGTTCCCTTTCGGTCTGGTGATGGTGTAGAGGGTTTAGGGTTTAGGGTTTAGGGTTTAGGGTTTAGGGTTTGGGGATTATCAGAGTTTCGGATTTATTACGGACACATCGGACAAGAGTTTGCCGATTCTCCCCCCCGCGGCCTGAATGGAGAGTTTCGGATTTAGGGTTTCGAGTTTAGGATTTAGGGTCTGGGATTTGGGGTTTAGGGTTTAGGCCGGGGTCTAGAAAATGTGGTGTCTTAGCTTGAGTGGCTTGGGGTGAAGGTGCAGGGGACTTTCTGTGTTTTTCCTTTTTTAAGGTGCTTGTGTTGATCGCCGTGGGTGGCAATGCAGAGCAAGCCCAAGTATGTTATTTTTTATCGGTACTTTTGCCAACCCATGAACCTCCAAAGCGATAGTAGGCGAAGAACAGTATCTATATTCCCGGATAATTAGCTCATAAGTAGTTTAAAATTTGTCCAAAACGACACCATTCTGACTTAGAGTGCGTCATAGTGCACCTAGAAGCTCCGTGTTCAGGGAGTTTAAGGTTCGTGGTAGTTCGGCCAGAGTGCTTCGGGTGGGTTTAGGGTTTATAGGCTTCATCAAGTGGAGGTGTTTGTCTCTGGCCTTTACATTTGTAGAGTAAGATTTACGCCTTGCATGCAGGTGCTTGCCAGGACCTCGTTGAGTGTAAACGTCTGAACAATAATCCCCTTAACCCTATCCCTAAACCCTTAAGCACTAAGAACTAAAAACTAGAAGGAATGTCCCTAAATCCAAAACCCTTAAGCACAAAGCCCTAAAAACTATAAAAAAATGGGACGCCAGACTGCGGATTCCCCTCGGTTCTCAATTCCAGCGAGAAGTGAACTCAGAGTTCCCATCATAGTCATGAACCTCTTGCCACTCAATATAGGGGCCTCAACACTAATGAAGACAACAATACTAATAATACTAATAATAAAAATAATGCTGATCATAATTACAATAGTAACTAGGAGCCCCCCAAAATAGCATTGGTAGTTCTTCAGGCCCCTACATTACCCTGAAGTTTTCACAAGCTTGAATCCGGAACCTTGATTTCCACAAGCCTCCCACGACCTTGGACCCCCTAAACCTCAGGGTTTAGGGTTTAGGGTTTAGGGAATCCACAACCCAAGCCAAAACCTGAAGCCCTGAACCCCTACACTCCACACTCTAAATTCCACAGCCCGCCCCCCAAGCCTAACTCCTAAACGCCTAACACCTGACCGCATCAGGCAAGCGAGTTTACGCCAGGAAGGACATGGAACTTACCAGCCGTCGAGGTGCTTGCGGGCTTTGTGTTGGGGTTTAATTCAAGGGTTTAGGGTTTAGGGTTTAGGGTTTTTTGGGTTGAATGTAATGGTCCAGGGTTTACGGATTCGGGTTTAGGGTTCAGGATTTATAGGTTTGAGTGTTCTGTCTTTGCAGTGCTTGGTCTTTAGGGTTTCCAAGAGGCTCCATGCACAATACCATGATGGAGCTACTTGGAGGTTCATGGGTAGTTATAAGTTGGGTTATAAGTAGGGTAACTCTAATTATAACCTATATTAGGGGACGTATAACTCCACTTAGAACTGCCCATGGACCTCCAAGTAGGCTAGGGCCGCACCCCCGCGCAGGCGACTGTATGACAATGTACCAAACTAAATTGCGTTATACTGTAGGAGATCATACTATATTCTGCTATTCTGTATGAACTGTATGAGATTATACCATGTTCTATTTCTTTGTGTGAACGCCGTTGCCATAGTGCCAGTTGTACGCAATGGAAGCTGTCTTTGATTACCATCCGGGCCGCACTGCAAAATCACTCTCCCCAAGGCCTGCAGTGTTTAGGATGGTATAATCAGGATTTGGGGTTAAAATGTAATTATGCCTCTCCCTCTCTCAGACTCAACGACATGGAGATAGGAGATGGACCCTGCAGCCGAACATGATGAAAGACCGTGGACGCTGGGACAGCCCACCCTAAACCCTAAACCCTAAACCCACCCGAGGCGACATGTGCTTTGCAAACAGACCTGCCTAAACAGGATTTCTTGGACAGCTGCCCAGGAAAAAGGTCCTCAAACAAAAAAACCACACATGAACCCCTGATCGATTCTCCGGCACTGTCAGCCAGGGCGGCTACAGTGCAGCCACTTCCTTCCGGCCAAGGGGAACGAGGCCTGGGTAGACATGATTTCTAATCTCATTAATCATAGCACTGTTATTAAGCACTACTCTCTTTCCCCAATCTCCGACTCCCGAACCCGATTGCGTGATACTTGTCGTCCCCGAAGTGGTGGTTCCTGAAATACATCGGCGTCTTTTTGAAGGGGGCTCCCCGTGTGGCAGAGGCCCCCGTGGATTTTCAGAGATGCGATCCTCCCTCCCAAACCTAAACCCTAAACCCTCAACCCTCATAGTAACCATAGAGGTTCCCTTTTTTTCTGACACTCCCAGAGATTTTGAAAGGCTCAAAGTGCCGGCCAGCTCCGAGGTTCACGACCTATAGGTCCCCAGAAGCCATGGCTTTCTCACTCCGAGCTCTCCGCACGCGGACGAGGCCGTTGGTGCGGAAATTCTCGGGAGGTCCCTCGGCAGAGGCCATTGCTGCGATCCAGTCGAACTTCAAGGCGCATCCAGAGAAGGCTCAGGCGACATTCCACTCTCAATCTCAACTGACTCATGGTTTGGTGAGCACTGGCAAGATGCGCAACTTCGACATAAAGGCCGATGAGCCCGCAGGCTTCGGAGGCGCCGACAGTGCTCCGAGTCCCGTCGAACTCCTCCTCTTCTCCCTCGCCTCCTGCCAGGAGATCACCGTGAAGGCCTATGCGAACGCCATGGGCGTGCCGCTGACCCGGGTCTCCGCGGATCTCACCGGCAAGATTGACCTCAGGGGCTTCTTTGCAGTTGACGAGAGTGTACGGGCCGGATTCAACAAGATTGAAGGCGTCCTCACAGTGGAGTCGCCCGCAGATCTTGAGACAGTCAAGCAGTTGAAAGCTGCAGCAGATGCACATTGTCCGGTGAAAGACATGCTGCAGGCAGTTCCCATGGAGATCAGCCTCAATCACATTCAAAAGTGAGCGCACCGGAGAATTCGGCAACCGCCGAGCCCCAAGTGCGATCGGTTGTGTGTGCTTGTAATACAGGGGCCTTAGTAATCACCTATACTATTTTGGGGGCTCCTGATTACAATTGTATAATAATATACCCCCAAAACCCTATTCTAACTATTAAGGCCCCGTTAGCAGTATACTATTTTGGGGGTTCCTTATTATAATTATATAATATTACCCCAAAACCCCATTCTAATTAAACCCTAAACCCTAAACCCTAAACCCTAAACCCTATGAACCTGTTGGTGGAACGGTCGATGAAGTGGAAGAGGGTGGGACGCAGGTCGATAGTGAAGCTGTGGACTTTTCACCCTAGTGTAGGTCTCGCGAGGCTGGATTGGTCGTAAAGTCCGCTCCAATACACTTTAAAAAAAAAAAAACCCTAAACCCCTAAACCCCTAAACCCTCAACCCCTACACCCGGCCCTTAGTCCGAAACTAGGAAGCTTGAAAGTCGTGTGCAGTTGCGAGCACCAACCTCGAAATTCTGCATGCTTTACCCTGAGCTGTTGTTTACGGGATACGGTTTAGGGTTTAGGGTTTAGGGTTAGGGGTTTAGGGTTGTTTACGGGATTCGATGGAGGCATGGTGATGCGTTTGGTCTGTGGTGGGAGCTAGATCACGAACCGAAAAGCTACCCAAACACAACCGTGTGGTGAGTGTTCACATACATGTCGGGCCCTGAGTACAGGCACCAACGTGCTTAAGGTGGAGCCCGTAATTGTAGGATCCAGGCCACCTCATCTTAAGTTCCCTGCATGTGCTGCCCTACACAAGCCCTTATCTTCAAACGCGAATGTGGCCTCCCTAAACCTCAAACCTTAAGCTCTGAACCGTCAAGTATAAAGCCTCGTAGACCCAACCCTAAACCCTAAACCTTAAAAGACCTAGAGACTCAGCCATGGCGGAACCAGCAGCCCGCCACCCAAGGCTCCACGAAGTCTTGCAGAAGCTGTCTCGTGAGGCTAGAGACGGGACATCATAGCACTTTCTTTAAGGTTCCTTAAAGCGAAATATCAGGCCTACCGTAAGGTCTCGCAGTCGTACTACCGATCACAGCGGGGAGCTTTGTCTTTGCCGTGAGGGAGACAGAGCGAGAGTGAGAGAGAGAGAGAGAGACGTCCCTCACGCCCAGTGGAAGAAGAGAGAGCGAGAGAGAGAGAGAGAGAGAGAGAGAGAAAGAGAGAGAGAGAGAGAGAGAGAGCGAGAGACAAAGAGCGAGCGAGAGAGAGAGAGAGAGAGAGAGAACGAGAGCAGCGGAGCTGAATTTGGGGCTCTGGGACTGGGTTTTGGACCTATGTTCTACTGGGTTTGGATGTCTGCGAAAGGCAAAGACATACTATGTAGATGGGCCTGAATCGTAAAGAACACTGTTCCCTGTGCCTCACTACGATGCTTGTAGTTTGTAAGTGCTGGAAGCCCAAACCGAACCAATATAGGGGCCATAATAGTTAGAATAGGGTGTTGGAGTATATTAATACCATAGTTATAAGAGAGGAACGCCCAAAACCATATTCTAATTATTAAGGCCCCTACATTATTCAGGCTTGTATGTCGAATCCTGGGTCTGGATCACGGTTTAGGCTGTAGGGGGTCGGATGCAGTTGAAGGAGCCGCAGTTCCGTAGGTCGGTTGTAGCTGAGGTCCTAAGCACCCTAACTGAGGGTTTAGGAATTGGTCTTGGCAGTAACTATTGTTATGGACAGCTAAATTTCTTGAAGGCTGGTGGGTGATTATTCGTTTCTCACTTTGGGGGCTTGTGGTGTCTTCTGATGGGCATGTGAGAGCACGAGATGAAGGCCTCCCCATGCCTGTATGTATACCCTCTTTGTGCAGGTGAATGTCAGTGCTGCTGTCAGCAGCAAAGGTGCTGCTGAAGCACCGCATCGTGCGCAGACTGCAACCACCCTGAACGCAAGTTGAAGCTGCCAAAGAGAAGAAGGAAGCATTGACGGAGCAGGAGATGGACCAAGCTGTCCTGCACCAGTTCAAGAAGATCCCCAAGGGTCCACGTTCCCGAATAGTATATACTTTGGCCTTAAAGAAGTCCCGATATAGGTACTTGAGGGCCAAAGGATAGACTATTTGTGTACATGGACCTTTAAACTTAAACCCTAAACCCGTATAATACCCTTAAAGAGCCCTTAGGATATACTATTTGGGTACAGGGTACTTGGAAAGATTGCAAATCCACTGCGAAACATCAACGACCTCAACAAGGTTTCCCCCACTCCAGCGAGCTCCAAAAAACGTGTTGTTGCTCGCCGTCTCCTGAGGCTAAGTTCCCCAATAGCCAAGCTCTAAACTTTTTGGGTTCTTCTAACTTAGTAGTAATCTCAAAGTTTAGCCTTTTGTTTCCCTGGCTTATTGGGGAAGTAAGTCTCCTAAGGGGGCAGTGGAGCAAAGGTTGCTCTACGGAAATTGGTCAGCTGTGGGGAATCACGATGCCTTTGACCAAGGGTGAGCGTGCGGATCCCGCTTGAAACTGGAACAGCAGGCTTACTTGGCATTAGCTTAGTTGCGTTGGTATTTGAATTGCTTGGCAGTAAACACAGGCCCCCTGATCCTAAACCTTGTAGGCCGCACTGCCCGGTAGACGTTATCAGATTCTATGGAAACCCTGATTGATTGACGCCGGCTCCTGCCTGTGCTTCCTTGCATGCAACGTGTGTACCACGTGATTGAACCCTAAACCCTAAGCTGAAGCCCTTGTCCTTTAACCCGCGGTGACCCGAACCCGAGCTGGTCATACACCCTGAACTTGAGCGCCCCAAACCCCACCTGGAGTTCAGGAAGAGTTTATGGGTTTTGGGTCTAGGATATTCCGGCCCCAGAAGCTCAGCGGGCGGGACTGGTAATCAGGAGTACAGTATGCATTAAGCTTTAAACCTGAACTGCCGCAAGACCTCAGGGCTGCAGATTCCCTAAACCCTGCTTAGTCAAGAACTTCGGTAAACGTATATCCCTAAACCCCATGTGGACCCTAAACCCTTGAAGCTTAACCTGTACCCCCAAGGACCCCAAGCCCTGCAAAACAGCAGGTCCGTAGATTATGACCCTTTACTTACAGGGCCCAACTCTCATAGCAGTAGGTTTTTGGATCCACAAGCACCGAAATCCATCGTTCCCTCGGCTTCTTTCGGCAGGTGCAGTCGGCCTCTACCGGTGTGGAGCTGCCCTGGAGCTGTGACAATCTGAAGGCGATAACCTGGAGGGTTTGGGGTTGAGCGTACCCAGGGGCTCCAATGTAGTTCCTTTTTAGGTCTGTTATGGTTTTTTGGTCAGGACTTATAGAGTATACCATCCAAAAAGGCACTACATAGGGGTCCCTGGGTAGTTTCAGGATGCATGTATGGGGTTCTTAAAACGCAGGGTCGTGCAGGGTGGTGTACGGCGTATGGCGTTACTGTGGCTTTAGGTGTTTGCGTTGTTGGGGTTCTGCTCTTTTCGTTTGGGAGCATGCCTAACACCATTTTCATGTGTGTGCCGAGGCTAAAAGAAGAGCAGAAGACAACGTGCCGGTTGGGTGGTCAATCAAGCTTTAGGGATAATTTTGGCGCTAGATTTCGGGGTCAAGGGCTTCAGAGCTTGTAAGCAGTTCTGATTCTAATGGTGATAACAACACCAAGAACGCATCACAACAGGACCAATTTCATCACCTCCATACCGGGGCTCTTTGGTACTTGCGAAGAGTGGATACGGGTGTTATAGAAGGCCTTAAGGGTTTATTTGGTTCACATGGTTCCAGGAACATTCGCAACTTGCGAGATTAAAACTGGAAGCAGCTCTGAGGAAACTTAGTAAAAATACAGCATCTGAGAGCTTGCGAAGATAAGGGACCTTGTTTGTAAGACCTAGTGAGAGCCCTTATACAGACCACGGGGTATCGCAATTCCCCCCACCAGTCCTGTATGCCGCACGCGAACCGTATAGCCTCCTTCTGAACCCTCTAGAGAACGTTTACAAGCTGAAAAGACCGCCCCGTGTTACAATTCTGTAAAAGCAAACGTTTTTCTAAAAAGACCTGCGAGCCTTCTCGCATGAGCATGGGCATCCGGCATAATCGTAGAGAGTCTGCTGCCTGCTTGCACAAGCGCAAGAGACACTTGGAGGCATGTAGCTTCTGCTTCAGTCAGTCTTCCTAGGTGGCAGAGCAACTGCTTTTCCTTACTTGATCTAGCCTCCTCGTTTGCCCCAGAACTGACACGATGGTGTGCACCAACCGAACGACAGACCAACCGACCGACCAACCCACCCAAACTCATCCAGGCCTCCTGCAAAAACCCCTTTTCCAAGTCAAAGGTGGAATCTCTAGATCTCCAGGCTCCTGCCGTTTACGAAATCTGAAGTTCCTACTGGAAAGGACCGTGAAAGGTTCGATGAAAGGTGACTTAGGAGCGTCACCCTGAACCGCAACCCCCTAACTAACTTCGAAGCCCAAACCCCCACAAAGACCATACTTGACCTCACAGACATGTTGAGTTCCTGTAGGGTTGTACAAGTCTTGGACGGGGAGGTTCTCAAGAGGTTCTATAAGGGTTTAGGCTTGCGGGCTCATTGCCTGGAGGGGCCAAGTACCGAAATAATATGGTTGAAGGTCTAATCTACTCTATTTTGCCTGGTCGTTGGATGCTGTTGGTATTCAATTTCCAAACCCCCTAAACCCCAAACCCCCTAAACCCCAAACCCCCTAAACCCCAAACCCTAAACCCCAAACCCCAAACCCAAAACTCTACCTTCCGTTTTGGAGGACGCGGTGCCGCTCTTTGCCAACCAGATGTCTCTCGAACAGGGCAAAGACAACCAGAAGGTGTTGGGATCCGGGATCGGGTATAGGGTTTAGGGTTTAAGGTGTAGGGTGTAGGGATCGAAAAGGGTTCCCGGTCCCATTTACTGGGGTTTAGGGGTTTAGGGGAGGCTCAGGCTTGTGAGGCGTCTACGTAGATCCGGCTCGTAGCAACACGTCTTGGATGACCTAGTCTGCAACCAACAATACAAGGTCTAGGATTGTCTGGTTTGTGTAGAGATACTCGAAGTTTAGCTGGCCCGGATCACCCTGGGGACCGTTCTGTCTTGTTGGCTCTGTCCTAAGCTAGTTGAACAGGCAAAATCACATTCGTGCCTGTTGAGGTTCACGCAGGCTGGATAAGGGGGGGGCCATTATGACTTTTAAGTTTGGGTGTAGGGGTGGCAGTGCATCGGTTTACTCAGGCTAGCAGTTAGCTCCGCTCTAGCTAAGCGTGCCTTGCCTCTTGGGGGCTTGAAGCGAGAACATAAGACCAAACCAATAACCCAGAGAGTCCGAGTACCCAAATAGTACGGTTTTAGGTCCATTAAAAAACCCATACTCTGAATAGCTTTTGGACCTTGAAACCCTACTATTTGGTCACTTGGACCCTTAGGGTAATGCTCTCAACCTTAATCCCACCAAGCCCCAACACTCACATTCCCAACAACCTTATCGCTCGAAGCCCCATAACCCGAAAGCTGTAAAGTCCAAACTGCCGTAGTTCGCGTTCCTTCCTTGTTCAATCGTGCCAGTGGTTACTAGGCTTGCATCCTCCTAAAGGAGCTTAGGGTTTATGTCCCACATAAGACAGTGGCTCGAGTAGTAACATGGCCTAGGCTAAGGCCGATCTGCAACCATGTGATACTAAGAGAAATTGTGTCGGGAAATTGTGAGGTGGCGGAGCTATATTCCTTAGGTCCTGTAAGCCTGAATCCTATCAGACGCTATGGAAATTTATGAAGACGCGCACAGCCCTAGTAGAAACCCTTAAGTGTAGTCCCATGCCAAAGAAAAGTTTCCTTTCTTCATTAAGCTGTTAATGCCCGCCCTTGACCAAACCTTCCCAAAGCCTTCTGAAACACTGTAACCCGCGTAACAGCCCGTATTCTGCATTTGAAAGCTCCTGTGTGAAACCCTCTGTCGCGAATGAAGACCGTCTGAAAGGCACTTCTATGTGCTGCAGAGGGCGGTGCGCTGGAGGCGCATTGTGTTTGGGGTTTGTTGCAAAGGTTCGCGGTTTAGGGTTCCCTTCACCCGAAACCCTAAACCGGTTTAGGGTTTTGAGCCTTCAGTGTTTAGGTTTCGGTTAGGGTTTAGGGTTCTACTGGGGTGCAGGGTAGGATGTGGGTTTTTAGCGTATGGGTTTGGCTTGGGGTCTTTCAGATTCTGGTGTAGGGTTCAGGTTTATCTCCTAGCATAAGCAGCTCCTAGCCGTCCTAGCCTCATAAGCCCGGAAACCACCGAAAGCCCAATGCTTGCATTTTTTGCGAGGGACTGTTGAGCTCTTCTGAGGCTAACCTTGTTGAAGATAGCAGTTCGCGAACGCCTGTTGCCATTTCAGTTGCAAGTGACACGCTGCTGCGGACAGATCAACAGGTCACTTGTGTAAATAATGTTGTAGCCATCTAACTCTGCAGGCGTAATCTTAGTAGCAGAGTACGATATAACCCCAAAGGCCCAAAGGTTCACCTTTGAATTTCTAGGGCCCTGGTACTGGACAAGTAGTTACTAGACTGCGAGGTTGCCGAAGAAGGGTGCTGTCAAAGCCACCGGGCGAAAGCCCCAGAAAAAGGCCTCAGCTGCAGCAAAGACTGAAAGATCGACGAATTGCTGGATGGCAGCGCAAGAAAACTCTTTGGCAAGTCCTCAAGTCATGAAGTTCTTAATTATCTGCGGCGGCTCAATGCTCGACGAGGTTGGACGGGTCATTGATCAGAGAGGGTCTCATATTGACAACGCCCTCACATATTGACAAGGGTGATGACTCTGGGGGGGGGGGGTGTATCTTCAAGCCCGGGGCCAGAGTGTTCATCTGGCGCAACGATTACGGCAGACCTGACTCATGACTTCCAAGAGGATTCTCAAGGTCAAAGTCGCACGCGGTGCTGCGTAAGTGGCAGAACTCCCTGGCTTGGCACAACACGTCGGGTGTCGCGAAGCCCAATGTTGTGCTGCCGATAGTGAAAGCGAAGCCGAAGGCAGACCCTAACCGTAATGTAGGGGCCTAAATAATTACCACTACTATATTGGTGGTTTCTTAGTATAGCTATAGTATAAATGGGCGCCAAAACCCTATTCTAACTATTAAGGCCCCTATATTAAAGCTTCGCTCGATATGCAGCTCGCAAGGGTGGGCAACATGCAGACAGCCAAGGAGCCCCGCGCATTTATTTGTCAAGTGTTTCGGGTCCGTTTAGCCGTTCCCCATGTCTGGGTCTCCGTTGGGCCTTCATATGTCTTAACTTCCGTTCCCTTGTTTGCTTAATATAGAACCCCAAACATAAAAATAGGGTTTAGGGTTTAGGGTTTAGGGTTGAGGGCTGTTCGACTCAACCCTGGCGCAGAGGCAGAATGCAAAGGCCCGTCGGCCCCAAAAGCCCTAAACCCTAAGCCCACTAAACCCTGCAGCCTTGGATTTGTGAATGTAGGGGCTGTAATCGTAACCGTAATACCGAGAGTTATCATAGCAACCCTGAACCTGAAACCCTAAACCTAAAAGCCTAATAGCAACAGCCAAAAAACATGAAAGTAGTCCCCAGGGCGCCTTATGATAGCGATGTACATCCAAAGGGTATTGAAATTCAGCCCTACTTTAGGGTTTAGGGATTAGGGTTTAGGGCCCTTAGGTCGGAAAGCCAAATCTTAAGCTACTCCTAAACTGCAATCCAAAGTCTTGCTAAATCCTTCAACCCGTAACTACCCCAAACCCAAGATCCTAGACCCTAAACCCTAAACCCTGACCCCTAAGCCCTAAACCCTAAACCGACCATAGAACCCTACATTACACCCCTCTACACCGCACTCCTTTTCCCCCCGTCCCTCTCAGAAGGGGTTTGGGGTTTAGGGTTTAGTGCCCGGAACTGTCTCTGAAGGAAGCCACGGCACTGATCGCTGCAGGCAGAGTTGGAGTTCCCCTTCTAGGCAATGTTGAATCTAAGGGTTTGGGGTTTAGGATGTAGGTACTCTATAGGGGTTTCCCAACATTATCCATGCCCATGCTGCTTCGCCAAGGGTTAACATTTGTTGAGGTCCAGGGGTCTGAATAACTAGTAGAACGTAGTCTTCCCCTACAGTCGAGAAATTTCAAACACTCCAAAGCCCTGTGCTGCTTGTGGAGGTCCTTGTAATATACCCGACAAAGCCATGATGAAACTCTACACTCAAACTAAACTGCAACGCCCTTTTCTAGTTCTTCCCGCCCGTAAATGTTTGAGCTCACTAGAGTCACTAGATCTCGCGGTGACCCTTAATATAAACAATGCTTCGTTAATTGAACAATCCCCGCCCGCTTGTATACAACACACCCATAACAATGGCCCAACTTTCCAAAAACCTCGGTAAAATCCTCCTGTCTTGTTTTCGAAACCTAGTTTGGAATGGGGAGGTTCAGGAGCAAGAGCGGGAGCATGAGCAAGAGCAGAAGCCAGAGCAGGAGCGAGAGTACGAGCAAGAGCAGGAGTACGAACAACAGCAGAAGCCAGAGCAGGAGCGAGAGCAGGAGCAAGAGCAAGAGCAAGAATAGGAGCAAGAGCAAGAGAGCCGGAGCAAAACAAGAGCAAGAGCAAGACCAAGGACAGGAGCAAGAGCAAGAGCAAGAACAAGACCCCCCGAAAGTAACAGCCTAGTTTCACTCCCCTTGCTAGTAAAGCCACTTTTGCAATTTCGTTCATGCAGCCTTTGAGTAAATAAATACATATATATATATATTTATTTATATTTATTTATTTATTTGTTTATTTATATATATATATATGGGGAGGTTATTAGATAGGGTGTCCCTAACCCCCCCTGATACTAAACACTGTAAATGACTTACAAGAACCATATTTGGGATGATAAGTGCGTTGACTGACTTACATCGTCGTGGGAACTGTTCGTATAAGTACACCCAACAAGTCCGTGGATCTTCGTGAGGGCTCGCGGTGGCGCGCCGAGGGGGGGGGGTTACGTTAGGGTTCTCGGGCTCTAACTCTGGGGGCCATGTTTGTCCTATTCTCGTTTTGGGCTGCTTCTTTAGTCTGCGGAAATCGGGGCTGGTTGGTGGAGTTCGAGCCGGCGTTAGGTAGTGGAGCTTTGAGCATCTAGGTATCGGATGAAGGCCTAAGCGGCGTGCTTCTTGCAGGGGGTTATGGGTCGAAGCCACAGCCTGAATGCCACGCCTCCGGTTCCTAGTAGTAGAGTAGGTAACCTTCGACTTTTCTAGGATATGAATTATAATCTGTATATGTCCCAAAGGTCAACCTTTGAATCCCCTAGCTACTGGACAAGTAGGATGATCAACCAAGTTGGCAAATGTTGTCTCTATCTTTCCTCGTGGCCAGTGCGTTCAAGGTTCGGACTGCAGACCTTTAAAGCCCCATAGCATTTACCTTGATATCAACTCATACAAGCATGCGTCAATTTGCAAGCAAGCTGTTTCACTCGCATACATGCGCAGCGTAGTAGTCGAGAAAATTACCCTAGAGACGTTTGTGGGGACTGCAGTATACCCCCAAAGCGTAAATCCCTATACCCTAAACTCTATAGACCCTAAACGCCTAAACCCTAAAACAGGTATAAACCCTATGCTGTCCCGAAGCCCCAGTTCTCCTCCGAAACTGGGCAAGCACTATGTAGACATACATGGGAGTTTCCGCAAATTAGGATACCTTTGTTTGAAGTCCTTATCATAAGGATCCTACTATTTAGGGTACTATATTGGGGTCCCCTATTTTCGGACCCCCCCCCCACCCCACATATGTGTTTATATATGTAGACATCTGAAGAGCATCTTCGATACACACACACATCAGACAGGTACGGATCTCAACGCCAAGGATGGGAGAGGCTCCATCTCAGCTTCGTTGATTGTCGAGGATCGTTCCTACCAACACCCAGGGTTTCAGAGGTTGGGATTTGGGGGTTTAGGGTTTGGGTTTCAGAGGTTGGGGTTTTGGAGTTCAGGATCTGGGCGTGTGACGTTGACTGTCTTTTTGTAGGATTTATGCTGGTATATAGAAGCAGAATGTAAATCCCCCCTTGGCAAGGGAACTCGGCAGTCAGTTAAATAATTACCAATATTAGTCCACAGGTTCCTTATTATAACTATACGATAAAGGAGCCCAAAACCGTATTCTGATTATTAAGGCCCCTACACCACGGTCTACACGCCTTACACAAGCCCAAATAAGCACTAAAAGCCCGAAGTCCACGATAGCTACAGGGCAATGAGTAGTTAGTAATACTGTCGTTTTAGAACCCCTTTGCAGGTCTACTACACTCGTCTTACACCCGATAAATCCCTGTTTTGCAGCGGTTCTAAACCCTATAGAACATCCGTTCGACCCCTAAACGATGCCCGAAGAGGCGTTTCTGCTTTGTGCACAGCGGCTGCCCACGGACACCGACAAGTGGCGACCCGGTTTGAGCTTTAGGGTTTAGGGTTTAGGGGGACTCAGTTGGTAAGGTGTGCTTGGGGGCGATAGGGTTTCGATACAGGTACTATACGGGTTCTATAGTGGGTTTTAGGGTTCAGTGGGCTGAGTAAGCAAGGTTATAATGTACTCTAATCGGGGTCATGAGTAAATAGAGCTCTATATACAGGTACCTTCTTTATAAACCTAGTTACCTACTAACTGCCATGATCATCTAAGTAGTGCTCTGTTCCCAGGCGGCATAGGAGTAGACTAGTAGACATTGAAGAGCAGTAAGATTGGGTTTAAGGGGTCTTGAGGGAAAAGAATAGTTTTATAGAGTTCCGACTTTGGTTCTACTTGCGGCTTTGGATTATGTTTTCGAGGATGCACGATGGGTCTTAGGTTTCGGATTTTTGCTCCTTTGCAATCTGAACCTATAGGCAATGAAATTTTAAACCCGGGATGAATGTAGAACCCTGGCTAATGAACCCCGCGTCTTTAAAGGATCCCCATTGCAGTCCCTTTTTTCGGGGTCTACAAAACTGGAACTCGTGCGCCCAAGACGGCGCTGCTGTCGTTGCAGCAATCGGTCGCCGACGAGGCGTCACTTCGACTGGACACACTCAAAAGGTCCTAAGTAGGGTTTTAGTACCGACATGGTAGACATGTGGTTTCGAGCACGGAACTATTCCCCGTATAGGTACTTAAGACTCTTTAGACGATGGAGTTCCACAAAGCTGTGACCGCAGAATGTCACAGCCGTACATATTGGTGGAAACACTGCCGCTCGGACCGCACTGCCCTGCTATTGGCATGCCTGACATCAGTGTTAAATTCTGCATTCGCGGCTGTCCCAGGCTCGTTCGCGACGCTGAATGGATGATCACGGGCGACGGAGCCGCGATTATCGCCGCTGCCCTGGTCATGCTCAGCAACGGCCGTATTCGTGCAAGACCGGATCCCCAGGTAGGCTTTTGGATCCACAGGCGCGATCGTGCAAACATGTCACAATTTTCATAAGATGAACAAGCCTTCTCCGAAAACCCTCGGACGAAACACCAAACCCAAAGCCCCAGGAAAAGCCCTAGCCTTTTTTACAGGAATTCTATAAACCCTGAACCAAGCCCTTTTCTAAAGACCTGTAGATCCTTATTACAAAGCCCTATATAATCTTTATCAAGGAACCCGAAACCCCACACCGGAAAAAACCCAGAGCCGTTTCCGAGTCCCTATACTTATGGTAGTAGAGCAGGTAACCCTTTTCATTAATCAACCCTAAACCAAAAACCCAATAATCCATGTATAATCCCAAAGGTTAATCCTCTGGCTCGCCCTGAATACTGGGCAAGTAAGTAGAAGCTCCACCTGCCCCTAAACATCAAACCCCAAAGCCCTAGACCGCGGCTCTTTCGCGCGGGGGCAAACGGTCCGGTAACAAAAAGACTTTACCCAAACCCTATACTAGAATAAATCCCTCGTAGACCCCTTTTAGGGGACCCCCAGCGACCCTCCCAGACCCTTTTTGAAGGAAACCTCAGTAATGTAGGAACTTCATAAACCCTAAACCCTAAACCCTAAACCCTAAACCCTAAACCCTAAACCCTAAATTAAGAAACCCTCGTCCTCTAACCCAAAAAATAGTAGGATTCACACAAGGAATCCTAACAAAGACCCAGGGTTCCTTCATCAGGTTTCTATATTACTAAGGTTTAGGGTTTAGGGTTTAGGGTTTAGGGTTTAGGGTTTAGGGTTTAGGGGGGAGGGTTTAGGATTTAGGGTTACAGACCCTAAACCCTAAACTCTAGGACTTCTTGCGAGGTGTGGCGCTTGGTGGATGCTGGTGCTGACAAAGATCAGGTCGGTAGCCTCAGTTGCAGCACGGTTTCGGGTTTAGGGTTTAGGGTTTAGGGCAGACTTTGTAACCAGAGTTATAGGGTTCCCTAAAGGACTTCTTCACCGCATGGCTGGACTTTGAGCAGCCTGGGGGCATGACAAACCGTATGCCCTAAATCCTAAACTTCCCAAACCCTAAACTCAGCAAACCCTGAACTCGCTAGACCCTACACATCTAAATGCCTAGACCCTAAACCCTAAACGCCACCCCCAACGAACAGGTATAAGCGTAAAGTACATTGTTTAAGGGTTTTCTGGTTTTTGGTACCGAAGACCGTTCTATGTCAACAATTTCTAAATTCCAAATTTAACAGGCATTCGGGCAGTTTCAGATTAGGGTCCGTTTTTAGGAACCTAAAAGAAGGTGGCACCCTTATGAAAAAGGACCCTACAAGGGACCCTGAACCCCCAGACCCTGGACCCTCAAGCGACCCGAACCCCTAGACTCTCAAAGGGACCCTTCAACCCTAAACCCCTAAATCCTAAACCCTTAAACCCCTAAACCCTAAACCCTTAAACCCCAAAGCCATTAAACCTCTAAACCCTAAACCCTTAAACCCTAAACCCTAAACCGAGTAAGGTTCCTGAGATAGCAACGGATTTTTAGATCCTGAAACAGTTAGCTTAGGTACTTGAGTAACTAACACTTCTTGAGGGCCCTTTATCATAATCCTACTTTTTTCCACAAAAAACTTGTTTTTCTTATCAAGAGCCCTATGTTAGAAACTCTGTTTGCAAGATTAAGCATATCCTTCTTCTTCTGCATTCCTGGGGTTCCTTTACATGCTGATTTTACGTCAGCATTTGGACCCTTGCAAACGCAGAGGTTTTGCAATCCCTAGATGTATGCATTCACTGTTTTTTCGCAAAAATAGACGAAAAAACAGCAGAATCCAAAAGACCTTGAACTACGAATTCGTGAGAACGCTGCCCTGTTGAAAAGCAAATGCCTCCCATCATAAAGCCCAAACCTCATCAACCAAGCATGATGCTCTTGCAAACCTCGTTCAGTAGTATACATGTTTTGCTTTTTCTGGGTTCCGATTATACTATAACTACCCAAGACAGTATCTACTTCTTCCCAGTGGCTTACTCAACAGCCAAGTACTAAAACAAATAAACTCCGAAAACTCTGCCCGCAAGTCACTGCAGGCGGACGATTCTGGGAACACTCCATTGTCCTTAGCCGTTCAGTGCCTTGGTGGCAGATGATGAAGGCTGTTTTGGGTTGCTCCGGATTTCGAGTTTTACTACGGTTGTCGAGTGTTGCCCTAAACCGTGCGACCCTAAGCCATGAAATCCCGAACCCCTCAAGTAGCCTCGATTGACGAAGGCATGGCTACTGCGAGATCGTCCGATTCCTCATCGATGTCACTGCTGATGCGTCTCGGCTCTCATAGCCTTCGAAGGGGCCTCCTCGTGATTACGTAAAATCAGGGTTTAGGGGTGTAGCGTTGAGGGTCTAGGGCGCCCAAAAGCACCAGAACGTAAACTATTGAAACCCGCGTGCTTGTCGCGCGAAGTTTTCTTAGTAGACGGTCGATGTTGAGGTATGCTTAGGTGCTTTTTGCTGCTCGATCGTTTAAGTACTTGCAGAGTGCTGAGATATTCGAATTACAGCTTTGCCAGGATTATGGAAATTTGCGCACAGTGGATCCTAAAAATCTAGGTTTCCATGTTATCAGGATCCGACAGGCTGTGCCACGGCTGTGTGATTATGGTTTTTGATGGTTTGCATGGGCCGTAAGGTACAGTCCCTACGAAGGTACTTTGGAGCCGCAGTAGATTCTATTTGGGCACAAGGACCCTTAAACCCTATATGCATCAACAGAACCGGAAGACAAGCTAAGACCGAACCCTAAACCCTAAACCCTAAACCCATAGGCCCGGAATGCAGACCGAAACCCCCAAAACATCAGGCTCATAGTCTGCGCGCAAGGGTCTAAACTAAGGCCCCAAAACAGACTTGCTAAACCCCTGACCCCTAAACCCTGAAACCCTTCAACCCTGGTGTTCTCCCTCCAGTGGTTTTCCTTGCATCCATTTGATTGTAGATCCCCTCCCGATTTCATAGAAGAAGGTAGGGATCCTAAATATCTAAGTCATGTTATGGGTGGCTCTTACGACTAGCGTCCCGGATTCATGGTTTCGTATGCTACTCCTGGTCCTCCTAGTTTCAGGATCTGCGCCTTAAGTAATATAGGGGCCTAGATAATTACCTACCTTATTTCAGGGGTTCCTGATTAATTATAGTATCATATCCCCCCAAATCTTATTCTAATTATTCAGGCCCCGGTCTTTCTTGTAGGAACCCTAAACCCTAAATCCTGAACCGAAAACCCTAATACCCTAAACCCTAAACCCTAAACCGAAAACCCTAAACCCTAAACCCTTAACCCTTAAACCCTAAACCGAAAAACCCTGAACATCCGAGGTGAACAGTTCCGATGTGAACGGGCGCAGCCCTTTGACCTTTGCTGCTCAGCACCCGGGCTGCCGAAGCTTTCACGGCTTACTTGGAGAACGGGGGTTCAGGGTTTAGGGTTTAGGATGACTTCTTCATAGGTACGTAGCAAGAGTTCGACTTTATTGGGGCTATCCATGGGAATCCGACATGAGAACTCTATGGAATAACTACTTACAAGGCCCCCTGACCCGAGTTCGAAAGTCATACCCTCAACCGCACTTCCTAAGCCTCTCTATGTAATCCCCAAACATCTTTGCGTTGAGAGGTTGGGCTTCCGGTTTAGAGTCTCGGGCTGTTGTGCTATGTTGAGCCTTTTATGGTTTAGGGTTCAGGGTTTAGGGTTCAGGGTTTAGGGTTTAGGGTTCAGGGTTCAGGGTTTAGAGTTTAGGGTTCAGGGTTTAGGGTTCGGGTATACCCGGATCCTCTGAAACTTACCTTCTGAAGGTCCTTCCGAGACCCCTGGAAGGATCTGAAAAATTCGATCCCCTAATTTGGGACGCTATGCTACTAAAGGGTAGCTTGCAGGCAGCCCCTTCTAAGGGTTCTTCCTAAACCCAGAAGCCCTAAGCCCATCCACCCTAAACTCTACTTTTTTGGATCCTCCCAGAACTCCGCGTTCAGGGTTCTAAACAATAAGCAGTCGTGAAATTAATGGCGCCCTACGAGAATTTCGAAGCTAGGTTCCTTAATTAAGGGCTATTGGAAGGTCTGGGTACCTAAACCCTAAACCCTAAACCCTAAACCCTAAACCCTAAACCCTAAACCCTAAACCCTAAACCCAAAACAGCTGTCTTTTTGGGAGGGGCCCCAGGAAGACCCCTGGCCCTCTGAAGGTCTGAGGAGGTCAGAGGTGGGGTTTAGGTTTTAAGGGTTTAGGGTCTACGGGGGGTTAGGGGCTCAGGGTTTAAGGGTTTAGGATTGGTTTAGGGTTTAAGGGTTTTACGGGGGTGAGGGGCTTATGGGTTTAAGGATTTGGGATTGGAGGGCTCAAAGGGTGTAGGGTTCAGGGTTTTCTGTACGTTTCACGGTTCTTATACACGAAAAAGTGTAGTCCGGTGCTTCACGAACCGGTCATAGGACTGAGCAAGTTGGGTTGCAATATAAAAAAGTGTACTCTAGTTCTTAGTTAACGCTGATAACATTGTGCAAGTACTTACCTGCTCAGCTTACTGTGGGACAGTATACTACTAAAGGGTACTCGATCTGACTGGGTTTCTACGTAGTATCCTTCGTACTACCCTGATGCCCTTTTTGGGGGGTCTCCTTATTGAGGCTGAACCGCATGAAAAGGGGTACCATTTTCTCTTACAGGGTTATTGAGGAACCGTACATTATCGAACCCGTAGACATAGAGCCTTTCTAGAACATGAAACCCGTTAAACCTCTTCAGAACCCTCATAGCAGCCCCTAAAGCTCTATTTTTGCAGGGCTGCTGGGTAAACTGCTAAAACAACCCTTATCGAATCGCTAACCACCTGGTAGATACTGGGTAGCCTAGGCTTTCTTGCACGCAGGCAGGGGAACTTCGCTGTGGCAAAGCACTTAGTGGAGGCCACCTCCCGGTTTCCTTCCCTAAACCCTAAGCCCTGAACCCAAAACCCAAAACCCTGAACCCTAATCCCTAATCCCTAAACCCTAAACCCTAAACCCGTTTTGGATGTCGTTTTTTGAGTTTAGGCTTAGGGCTGAGGGCCCAGAGCATTGGGAAGACCCAAAAGCATTAGATCCCTTAAGCGGCTCCTATAAAGCATCCCTTGGTAGTGTAGGGTCTCGCCTTAGGGAGATCTACTTCTTCGACCCAGTGGAGCATTTAGGGGTTCATCGGCCTGGCGGATTTTTGACAGTTGGGTTTGGGAGTTTAGGATTTAGGGCTCATGAGGTCGAGTCTAGGGTTCTGAACAATCAGTGCTGCGATAGTCCCCCAAACAGTCATACCAGTCCTGATGGCGGCAAGTGCTGACTGATGGCCCGGCAAAGTCGGTTTGCCCTAAACCCTAAACCCTAAACCGGGTTCAGATTGAAAGCAGGCTCCGGCTGTGATTTCTTTGGTTTGGGTCGTCAGTTCTTTGGGCGTAGGAATTAAGGTTTACTTGTGTTGAGCGCTCTTGTTAAAGGCCTAGCGAGGCTTAATAGCGTACACGGCACCGATGCCCACGTAGATGATGCCGATTATGGTTTATTCCGGTCCGAAGAGGGAGGATCGCATGGCAGATCATTGAACGCAAAAGGATAGAAGTGATTGACGGGATCATTTACGACTGAGCGAGCAGGGAATATCCAAAGTGGCTTTGCAGAGCCGGGTCTGCATGCCTGTAACAGGGCGCCTGACAAGACCCCCAAGGGTTTAGGGTTTAGGGTTTAGGGTTACGGGTAGAGACCTCGAAGCTAAGCCGTGCAGCTGTGAAGGACCTGCAAGCCAAGGACATGGATTCGCTTACACCTGGGTGACATTCGAGGATTATGCGTTTCGTTAATTCGACAGTTTCCGCTGCTAAACAGTTTAGTTGTCGAAGTTCCGAGTCATGTGGCAAGTGGTTCGTGTTGATTGTCTTTGTGCCTGTAATTGCCTGTGCCACTGCAGGTCTATTTGTTTGGTTGCAAGATAAGCGCAGCAAGTCTTACGGTTGGGACTAAAAACCTTGCAGAACTATATCTGGTTTTCGGGTTTGGGGTCAAACAGGTCAGCCAGGGTTGATAGCTTGCTGGTAGTGCCGCGAGACTTGAGGCAGGGGCAGACAAAGACCAGCGCGACCGGGATGGATGCACTGCATTGTGACCTGGCTGGAGCTATTCGTCATACCTAGCCAGCGGAAACCCCAAACCCAAAACCTGCATGCACGTTTGGTTTTCTAAGGGGAATTTTGGAGCCTCCGCGGCCCAGAGCTTTTAGCAATGTGGTTTAGTGAACCCTGAACCCTTGTTAGCTGAGCTTCACGGCTTCAAAGCTTCACGGGGCATTCCATCACATAAACCCTAAACCCCAAACCCAAACCCTAAACCCTAAAACCCTAAACCCCTAAACCCCTAAACCCTAAACCCTAAACCCCTTAACCCTAAGACCCTAAAGCCCTAAACCCCTAAACCCTAAAACCCTAAACCCCTAAGCCCTAAACCCTACAGGATTGCAACTCCAAGTTCCAATCCTTTAGGGCTATAAGGATTCAGAGACCATGGATAGCCCAAAAGTCCTTAACTAAGGGTGATACCGTACATGGTAAGGTTGATGATATAAATCCTGCACTACCCATAATAAGGAACATAGGGTTTTGGGCTTTAGGGCCTAGGGCCTAGGGTTTAGGGTTATTATCCATATTAAGGATTATACCATAATTCCCATAGTTAAGGGTCCTTAAAAGGTGATGCAGGATTAATATCATCAACAGTAGTCAGGATCGTGCACCGTGTTGCTAAGGTCTGTGTATTCCTTGCTCAAGGGCGTTTGGGTTTAGGGTTTGGGTTTCTTGATTTCCCCCTTCCACTATTGGGCTTTGAGAAAGCAGACTAAAACCCCCCGAAAAGGCAGCCTGGCATTAAATGGCGGAAGATAGGGCTTTGCTTGGGGATTCTCGTTTCTAGATCTTTTCAGGGCTTCCCCTGTATACCCTAAATTGAACCCTCTTATCGAACCCATATAGATCCCTCAAAGGAGCCCTTTAAGGGAACCCTAGAACCTTGGGTAGTGGGCTCTACGTACGGGCAGTTTGATTTTTCCTTGGCAACCGCATCGCCCAGGAAGTTGCGCCTTGAGTAGAAACGGTTCAGGGACCATCGGCTATGGAGCCCTACAGCCCCACAACCCAAAGCCCGAAACCCTAAACCCTAAACCCTAAACCTTAAACCCTAAACAGATTCCCTGCATAAGCTCATCAGGGCCTAAGTCTTCGGGCTAGTTTTTGGGTTAAGGGTCGAAGCTTCGAAAGCTTTTCACCGAGCCCCAAACTCAATCCCGAAAGCATACGCCAGGGATCAGTACTCGGAGGATCATGGGACTTAGTAAGTAAGGTTATAAGTACCCTAATTGGGTTTATGAGTAATTATAAGTCTAGTTACCTGATTTATATCCCTAGTTACTAAGTCCCATGAACCTCTAAGTAGCAACTCCAGTGGCTCCAAAGTTCCCGTAGACCTGGAACTCGAAACCAAACTGTGAGAAGCCGGCATCTCGCTTACGAGGCTTCCCTGCTTTAGGGTTTACGGTTCTATAAGGGTTTGGGGTTTAGGGTTCCTTTGGGTTTAATACGGTTTTAGGGTTTAGAGTTCTATGAGGGTTTCGGGTTTAGGGTTTAGGGTTCTATAGAGCAGATCTTTCTGGTTTTGGTCAATGGCCGCTTCTGAAACGGCAGGGCTTTCGGAATTGGTCCTTGTCGACCTGCGACACGAAGCCCTTCCTCACTTGCGCAACACCCTCAACCACTAAGCGCCACACCTTATTAAACGTTCTGGACTCATGGCCAACTCTAGCATGCCCAGAAAGTACCTGTACAGAATCCGTACATAAAGCCCTGCAAAGGCGCCCTAAACCCTTAAACCCGCAACCCAAAGCCCTAACCCCTAAACCATAAACCCCTAAACTCTAAACCCTGAACCCTAAACCCTAAACTCTAATTCCCTAAACCCTAAACTCTAAACCCTAAACCCTACGCCAAAAAAACCCTAAGCCCTAAACCCTTAAAGGAACCTATAAGGGTCTTACCACTTACAGGGCCCTCGAAGCTTCGAGGCCAAGGGGCCCAGGATCTCGATCCGAAACCCTACAGGGGTTCAGGGCTTTGGGTCTAGGGTTTAGGGTTTAGGGTTTAGGGTTTAGGGTTTAGGAGTGTAGGGATTAAGGGGTTTAGAGCTTAGGGTTTAGGGGTTTAGGGCTTTGGGTTTAGGGTTTAGGAGTGTAGGGATTAAGGGGTTTAGAGCTTAGGGTTTAGGGGTTCAGGGCTTTGGGTTTAGGGTTTAGGAGTGTAGGGGTTTA